TCAGAAGCTTTCAGTCTAAGGATTCATGGAAACAGAATCTGATGAGGAGTTGTCAAAGTGAGGTTGGCTATGGTTTGTTCTGTTTCTCTAATCTTTCAGAATTCACCCCAATATCTGGATCTGGGTTTTTTATTAATAAGACCCTTTAAGATTCATGGTACAGGCTAAAAGAATGGATATGAAAGCAGGATCCATCATTCTACTGCACACAAGAAACACACCTCAACATCAAAGATAGACATTGCCTCAGAGTAAAGGGATGGAAAAAGATTTTCCAATCAAATACACCTAAGAAACATTACTAAAGCTTAAATCACACTTCAAACCGCACAGCTTAGTAGTGGGAAAATTCAATACCCTACTCTCACCAACAGACAGATTGTCCAGACAGAAACTAAACAGAGAAATAACAGAACTAACAGATGTTATCATTCAAATGGACCTAACAAATATCTACAGAACATTTCACCCAAACACAAAAGAATAAACCTTCTTCTCAGCACCTCATAGAATCTTCTCCAAAATTGACCATATACTTGGCCACAAAGCAAATCTCAAAAGAGACAAAAAAATTGAAATAACCCCCTGTAATTTATCAAACTACCATGGATTAAAACTGGATTTCAACAACAACAGAAACAACAGAAAGCCTACAAACTCATGGAAACTGAACAACTCTCTACTGGGTTATTACTGAGTTAAGGAAGAAAGAAAGAAAGAAGTTAAAGACTTCTAAGAACTCAATGAAAATGAATGCACCAACATACCCAAACTTATGGGACACAATGAAAATGGTGCTAAGAGGAAAGTTCATAGCACTAAGTGGCTTTATAAAGAATCTGGAGAGATCTCATACTAGCAACTTTACAGCACACCTGAAAGCTCTAGAACAAAAAGAAGCAAACTCAACCAGGAGGAGTAGACACCAGGAAATAAATCGAGGGCTGAAATCAATAAAATAGAAACAAAGAGAACAATACAAAGAATCAATGAAACAAAGAGTTGGTTCTTTGAGAAAAATTAACAAGATAGACAAACCCTTGTCCAAATTAACTAAAAGGCAGAGAGAGAGCATCCAAATTAACAAAACCAAAAATGAAAAGGGGGATATAACAACAGATTCTGAGGAAATCCAGAGAATCATCAGGTCATACTTCAAAAACCTATACTCCACAAAATTGGAAAATCTAAAAGAAATGAACAAATTTCTTGATAGGCACCACTTACCAAAGTTAAATCAAGATCAGATCAACAATTTAAATAGACCTATAACCCCTAAGGAAATGGAAGCAGTCATTAAAGGTCTCCCAACCACAAAATCCCAGGACCAGATGGTTTTAATGAAGAATTCTTCCAGATTTTCAAAGAAGAGCTAATGCCAATACTCCTCAAATTATTGCACAAAACAGAAACACAAGAAACATTGCCAAATTCTTTCTGAGGCCAATCACCCTGATACCCAAACCACACAAAGACTCAACAAAGAAAAAGAATTACAGAGCAATTTCACTCATGAACATTGATGCAAAAATACTCAATAAAATGGACCCAACAGGTTATATTTAGGAATATATATGTATATTCATATATTTATATGTACATAAAAACATTTAGTTATTTACAAAGAGGCTGTGAATTTGAAGGAGTGTGGAGAGAAGTATATGAGAGAGTTTGGAGGGAGGAAAGCAAAGAGTGAAATGTTGTAATCTAATTATAATCTCAAAAATAAAAAAATTAAAAGGATATATGGGCAGCTCAAAAAAAATAACAAAATGAATTTTAATAGCTAAAATTTTTAAATGAATAAAAGGGGCTGGAAATGTAGCTCAGCTGGCAGAGTACTTTCTTAGCATGCTGGAGGCCCAGGGTCTAATCCCTAGCACTATGTGCTCCAAGCATGGCCATGCTCAACCTGTAATCCGGACACTGAGGAGCTGAAGACAGGGGCACCAGAGGTTCTAAGTCATATTTATCCTCAGGTGCATGGACTTATGGTGATATTTTATTTGTATTAAAATGTTATTTGTATGTTAATAAATAAAGTTGCCCGGGGGTCAGAGCTATTAGCAAGCCATAGGAAAGCAGGGCAGTGGTAGCGTACGCTTGTAATTCCAGCACTTGGTAGGCAGAGCTGGGTAAGTCTCTGTGTGTTCAGGGATACAGCCATTATTGGATACACATGCTTTTAATCTTAATACCAATCATGGAAAACCTGGAGGCCTATACAGACAGGCCGTGAGGAGGCGGTCATGTGGTTGGGTTTACAACCAATGAGAAGGCAGGACAGGAACTCTATATAAAGACTTTAACACAGGGGTAGCTCTGGTTCGGAGAGGTAGGACCACCGCAGGAGGAAGGGTAAGGTTTTAGCTCTTAGCTCTGACCTCTTGGCTTTCTTCTTTGCATTGGTTCTGTGTTTCTTATTTAATAAGAAGGTTGGATACATCTACATGGACTCTATAGGCATCCTGGGACACAGGGGACCCTGTCCTAAGAACAATGACCAGCCAATTATAACTCCCCTACCTGAAATCTGCTTCCTTAATAGTCACTAGGTCTATGAACACATGGGATACTAAAAAGACTTCCTCAATATGCAGCTATTGACCAGGCTGCTAGCTCAGTGTGTAACATGCACCAGAGAGTAAGGTGTTTTTCAGTATCACAATTTCATAATTTAGGGGCCTAGGGGCTGGCAGGATGGCTCTGTGGGTAAAAGGCTTGCTGCACATGCCTGTCAGCCTGACTGCACAACCCACAGTGAAGGAAGTAAGCCAACTGCTGAGAGCCAGCCTGACTCTGGCAGGGCCTACACTCCCAGTTCCACACCACACTCAGTAGTGATGATAATAATAGTAATAGTAGTAATAAAATAATTGCAACATTCTAGCAAATATTTATTGATCATGAGGCCCAAAACTATTTCAGGTACCAAGAATCACAATGAACAAAACAGAAGGAAATCTCTTCCTTGATTATATAAAGCAACACAGATTCTAAAAGCTATCTTGATTAAAAGTCTAAAAAATTATTCATAGCTAAAAACAGACAGTGGCAACAGGGAGCAAAGGTAGAAAAATCATTACCTTTGTGTGTATAACAAAGTGCCTGAACTCCCTCTCCCAAAGGAAAGAGCCTGATACGGAAACACTGGGGAGTCCCTATCCAAGAAATCAGAGGGGAAGTGTATGGCAAACCTATTAGCCAACAGGATACAATAATCACTATTTTAAATATTATGAACATGGAGTTAGTATTGCCTCTCTGTGGACTCTGTTTCATAAAACACTGGCCTCTTACATCAGTACCGACAAGCAAGAATTTCCTGAAATATATCTTAAAGAGTAAAGATGATCTCATCTGTTCTTTAACACACAGCCTTAGCTAGCACCTCTGCTTCTGCAAACCTATCCTAGAAATAAGACTTGCAAAAACCAGTGGGAGGGGTCTGGGGATGCAGCTCAGTGGAAAGGCGCTCACCTACTAAAGTGCAAGGCCCTTAGATCCACTCCCTAACACTCCAAAAGAAAGAAAAATTATATGTGTGTATGCATATATATATATATATAGGGGTGTATCCATAATTATACTGAAATATTAAAATTCAAAATGTCTATATTTAAAATACCTCAATATACCCCCCAAACTGTCAATTTTAGTGGCACAATTGAGTCAAATACATACTAACCCAGAAATAACTATCAGCTGGGCTGGGGAGATGGCTAATGGGTAAAGTGCTTGCTGTGGAAGACTGAGGATCCGAGTTCAGATCTCCTATATAAAAAGTCAAAAAGCCTTGAGTGAGGGCTGGGGTGGGATATAGACATGCAAAACCTGGAGCCCAGCTGGCAGCCAGTCTAGCTGGAAAGGTGAGAGATCCTCTCTCTCAAAAAAAAAAAAACAGAGAGAGAAGACACGTGATGTGAGCCTTAGGAATGGCTGAAAACTAGTGACTCCATTAAGAATAATCACTTTCAATAGAAAATCTCTTAATAATAAAAAAATTTAAAAAATTAAAAAATTATTAATGTATGTAAAAAAAAAATAATAATCACTTTAGAGGTGTGAGAGATGGCTCAAGGCTAAAAGTACTTCCTGCTCTTACCGAGGACCCAGGATCAGTTCCCAGAACCAATCCTCACAACTGCCTGTAACTCTAGTTCCAGGGAACCTGGCACCCTCTTCTGGCCTCTCAGGGTACCTGCATGTATGTGATACATATACATACACTAAAGACTACACACATACACATAAAATAAAAATAAATAATAAACCCTTTAAAAATAATAAGTAATAACGCTAGTAACCAATGCTAGGTTTTCAAAATTCCCTTTTTTTAATTCCCTATAGAATCTGTTCACAGACTATTCAGTAAGTGCACCTGGTGACTTTAATACATACAACATTTAAAATAATGATAGCCACTGTCTAATCCCTTCAGAAAACATGACTCTTTCCAGATATGAAATCAATCTTCAAAGGATATAGAAATGTCACTACTTAGATACTCAAGAGAACCCACCATACAAGAACATTCGGAGCAGCAAAGCCACCGTCGATCTCATTGCTTTGTAAATTTAACGATTTCGCATCTACTATACACCCATGTCAGGTACAAAAGAGCATTTTATGCATTTAACCGCTATTCCAATACAGAAGCTCTGCTATGCTGGTTATAGATGAAAAAATGAAAAATTACTTTATAGTCACATCTCATTTATGTCCTGCTTGAATTAGTTTAGCCAAATGGCTGATGATAAGTTGAAATAGTTTTAAACTGGGTCATTGGGGTCAATGGTTAAGTCTACATGTGGGGGAATTCAACCAGCTTTTTTGAAGGTGAGACCACAAGCTTAGGCCCAGCCTGCTACTCTGTAACTAGGCAAAGTTCACCATCCACAGAACAGCTCAGAGCCCACAACATACCAGCATGTACCTAGAATTCTCACTTCTGCACTCTCTTTCTCTTTGATTTATTTTTATTTGGTTTAATAACATACCTCAAAATGATGATCAATCAACTCAAAATATTCTTGAAGGGGTATACATCCAGAAAAAGAACATGCAAAATCTTTGATTCCCTGTTTTTCAAAATATTCCTGAAGGCGAAGGATAAGTTCATTTGTTATGAGCCAAAGATCTTCAAATTGCTCGCTTTGAATGCGGTATCGTTCTAAGAGAGAAAAATAACAAAGGAAAAGTACTCATGGTTATTAGCTGGAATTAAATGAGTTTGCAACCTTGACATGAACACCAACTAAAGGATAAACATTTCTTTTTTTATAACGTAGATATGATTTCTGCTGGCTTCCTACAATACATGTCTGCTGCTTTGCTGCTGTCTTCTGTATCAACCATATAACGATTTCAGATGTCCTTCTAAGGGAGATGGCCAGAGACAGGCTGAGTGCAGTCCTTCTCATCGTGTGCCTAACAGTAAATAGAATGAAACAACCCAACTGTGGTGGAACACTCGACTCGAAAGATAAACAGCCATTGAAAAGGTGCAGTATGGTGGTTCCAGTCTACTTCTGAATACTGGTGTGAGAGAAATCATTGCAATTACGATCAAAGATTTCTGTTTTGTCTAAATTAAAAGGAGAATTCTGTTTCCCTCTGCTCCCTGAGCCCTGAGCACGAAAAGCTCCTGTGTATTCTCTCATGATGATGGCTGTGATGGCGAGCTCAGGACGATAGTGATTATGGAGGCAGCAGTAGCAGCGGCATCTGTAGAATCAGCTGTGGATGGGGACCAGTCAAGTGCCAAATACTGTGGGTACACCAGCTTCTTGTTATAAAAAGAGAAAGCAAAGCACACAGCATTCCAGTGACCCAACCAAGGATCAGGAAACACATTAAATGTGACAGTTTGAATTCATACTACATACATTCTTCCCTACCTATTTTAATTTGCCTATTCTTCAGGGCATAGTTTGATTTCATCTACCCCACAATAAACTGTTTTCTCTACATCCACAGAAGCCTGATACACACCAGGTTCTATCACAACCACACTGTTAGTTAAACTTCAACTGTCTCACAAGGGAGTGATGCCATTCTCATTTTTACAAAAAAAATAAATAAACTCAGAAGAGTTTACTTAATTAACAAGGTAATTCAGCCAGTTATGTATGGAGTAGAAACTGGAATTCTAATTACTAATATAGAAAGATTAACCATTGATCTTAACCACATGACAATGCGACATCTATGTAAATGTTCACAGGCTCAATGTGTCTACTGTTCACCAGGCACCTAACCACCAAGTTTCAACTTCCAAGAGGATTATACAAAGTCCCTTGAAAATCTCAGGAGTTACAAATTCCATTTAATTCACCATTAACTATTTATATTATATACAATATTCTAAAGAAAGAAATATTAGAAGCATTGGCAGGATGAGGATTATTTCAGCCTTCCTGCTTACAATATGTAAAGACTGGGGTAAAATGACAAACAGATATGTGATGGGTTTCTTAGGCTTTTCTATGGTACTCTGGCAAAGAATAAATGTATCCCTATATGTTGACACTTGGTTTTAGGACTTTACTTTTATTAGCAAACTCAGAAAGACAGATTCTCTTATTCCCCATAGTCATCCTCTTGTTCTGCTACATATGTGTATTCCTTACTTTCCTGTTGTCAAGATAAATATCACGACCAAAAATAGTTAAGGAAGAAAGGCTTTATTTTAGTTTACAGTGTCAATGGGATAGTCTATTAATGGTGATGAATGCATGGCATGGCAGCAGACACAGGAAGGAAGTTGGCTGATCACATTTTTATCCACACAAGGAGGAGGAGGGGGAGGGAGGGAGAAAGATGGAGCAAGGCCACAAATCATCAAAGCCTGCCGATAGTGACATACTTCCTCCAGTAATGCTTCACCTCCTACAGTTTCCAGAATCTCCCAAGACAGCAACACCAACTGGGATTTGAACAAATGCAGAAGCCAGGGGGACATCTCTCATTTAAACCACCACAATACAGAATAAACAATACTGGGTTTGCCTGCCACAGTCCATGCAAAATGGCTGCTCTACTCTACTGTGATTAAATGTTCTCTCTGCAGGTGACAAAGGTTAGGGTGGACATCACATCCACTGTCTTTAAGGCTGACTCTTCTGTAGACAACATAGGCACCCTGCCAGTGCCTCCTTCAGCTTTGATGATGCTTCTATTTCTACTTCATATTGGTTTCTCACATCTTCTGATGGGCTTCCTCAGAAAGGCTGGCCACTAGCATCTCTAGCTCCCATCCCACCTGCTTCTGTACCTCAAACAGAAATGTCCTTGTCTCTCAACTGCAGCAACTCTTGGGCTTTGTGCATCTGCACTGTCAAGAGTCCAGACCTTTCTTACACCTCTCTGTGGTCACAGGAGACCATTAGGAAAGAGCTTCCATCAGAGTGAAGGAGGCTGAGCCCGATCCTTCATAGCTGCCAACTTCTGAGACTTCTGCCCTAAGATGCTCATGTCCTTCCATGTGTAAGTATCTCTTCATAAAAGTTATGAAGTATACTTGACAGGCGGGAGATGTAGGTCAGCTGGTAAAGTATTTGCCTAGCATACACAAGACCATGAATTCAATTCCCAGAACTGTATAAAACAGAAGTGGTAGCTCACAGTTGTAATCCCATCACTTAAGAGGTGGAAGGAGGAGGATCAGGAACTCAAGATCATCCTCAGCTATATAGTGAGTTCAAGGTCAGCCTGGGATACAGACTCTACCTCAAAAAAATGGTAATTGATACAGTTAGCATCCAATAAGCATTGTTTATTCTCCTATTACTGCCACTGTTCTCCCCAGCGCATGGTAAACACAGCGTGGAGATTTCATTGTAAACGTCTATTGACTCACATAGTTTAGTCAACCCATGTACAGCTAATGCCAGGTATGGGTGGTGTATGAGGCAAGGTAGGGATGCTGTGGGATGGCAAGAAAGGCAGGCAAAAAATGCCCCTATTTAAAACAATAAGTAGGCCAATGAAATGATTCAGAGGATAGAACTCTTGCACACAGTCAGGATGATCTGAGTTTGATTCCTAGATCCCACAAGGTGGTCACATGGTTACAGAGAACCAATCCCCAAGATTGGTCCTCTGACCTTAACATGTGCCAGCATGCATGTGTGTGTGCAGGTGTACACATATGTAAGCAGAGGCAGAGTTTTTCTATCCTGACTGCCCAGTCCCAAATAAATACACAAAAACTTCTATTAATTATAGAATGCTCAGCCAATAGCTCAGGTGTAGCTAGAGTTTTCCTGCCTGGCCCACGGTCAGGGCAAATCTCTCTCACCTGCTAGTCCCACAGCCACTCAGACCCAACCAAGTAAACACAGAGACTTATATTGGTTATAAACTGTACGGCCGTGGCAGGCTTCTTGCTAACTGTTCTTATAGCTTAAATTAATCCATTTCCATTAATCTATACCTTGCCACATGGCTCGTGGCTTACCGGCATCTTCACATGCTGTTTGTCATCATGGCGGCTGGCAGTGTCTCTGACTCAGTCTTCCACTTACCAGATTTATTCTCCTCCTTGTCCTGCCTATACTTCCTGCCTGGCCACTGGCCAATCAGTGATTTATTTATTGACCAATCAGCAACACACTTGACATATAGACCATCCCACAGCACTCAGGCTTACTACTAACTAGCTCTTACATTTAAATTAACCAATTTCTATGTATTGCCACATGGCTCATGGCTTTACCTATCCTCTAGCATCTTACTTCTCCAGTAACTGACTTGCTGGCATCTCTCCCGACTCCGCTCTTCTTCATCCCAGTCCTCAGTTTGATTGTTCCGCCTAACTTTATCCTGCCTTCTTATAAGCCAAACAGCTTTATTATTAACCAATGAGAGTAATACATATTCACAGTGTACAGAAGGATTATCCCACAACAGACATATGCAACACAAATGAATAGATTAATTATCTAAATAATGATAAATGATAAATTAACATAAAAAACCTGCAGCCAATTTAAAAGAAGGAAAAATCAGATTAATGAAACCCTCTTTATAAAGCGAAGTAACACAAGACCACCCTTTATTTAGTCTCAGCTGCCAGGAGCCATCCCGGTGGTGGATGGGTCCTGTAGAGGATGTAAGGAGTCGGTGGGAGAAGGAAGTGAGCCAGGCCATGGGAGTCGAGAGAATCTTGCAGCCTGACTGACTAGCAGCCAGAGTGTTTCTTTATTTATACAGAATTTAGTTAGGAGGGATACATTCATGATGTTCCAAAACATACATCATATCATTTTTAGTTTTGGACATGTGTTTCACTTCCTTTTGCTCATCTTTTAGTCATTATTAATAAACTATGACAGAACAGAGTTATCATTTCCAATCATTTTCCCTCAAGTTTTGACATCATTAATAAACAGTTATTGTTCTTACTCATAAACCCCATAACCCAATTTTTGAGAATCTAGAGACATATGACAGCCTGTGCTCAGGCTGGTTGCTTTGGTTGCTTCAAGGACACTAGACCAAAACAAAATCTTCAACCACCGTAGGCATTTTTGCCATGTCTCAAGCAATGTATTATTAACTCTTAGTGGTCAGAGTGCCCAGGAAAAATCCCCAGGCTAAAGTTACTGCAGTTATTATTCAAATTCTGACATAATACAATCAATGTTCACATTTATATCCTTATAGAATTTGTTTATATGATGTCTAATCTTGGCATTCTGTTGTTCCTTGGTCATATGTCATTATAGTGACTCCACATGAGCTAACTGTTCTAAGAGAGGGAGGTCCTAACACCTCATACTTTCATCATCTTTCCACTCCATACTTTGCTCATCAATATGTCTCTATGTAGGACAGAATTGTATGCCACATAATTGTCTGAGTGTACAGTGGGAAGAGGCTTGTAATCTGAACTGCAGACAATTCCTCTAGCCCACCAAATCTTGTTGACCTTTTTAATTTTACTTTGTTTTGAATATCTTGTTCCTGTATAAGTACAGGAACAGATGTTTTAAGAATGTCTCATAGCCTCATGAAGAGACCTCTGGCTTCTTTGTGTGTCACAACCTCCAAGGCATAAGGAAGACCTTCAAGTAGATAAGGATATCTCCTTAAAAGGAGGGGTGGGGGGGAATAGTATGTTCATGGAAGTTTACTTTCCTAGGTAAGCTTAGAAGCAGCATTCCTGGG